GTATCGTTATCCCGGTGTTCATATTTTCGCGGAGCGTAATTGAATGTGGCGTTCCATCGCATCGGTGGCTCGAGCGGGGTGATAATTTTCGCGAATCATCTGGCCCCGCGTAAGTACACGTTCCCTGATAGTTAAGAAGTTACACGGCCGAGGTTCGTAACATTGTGTACCCAGGATGTCTAAATATTTGTTAAAGCAACGGGGCGTCTGCCGGTTCTTAATTCCCACAACTTTCCGTATCCCTTAAAACGGAAACAGTGTCGCGCAAGAAACTAATCTACATTTGAAATTTCATTTGTGTTGAATGGAGAATGAGCTTCCCCCGGCAGGCTGACCTGCTCGAACGTACATATTCCGCCAATCCGTTAATTTAAGGAAATTTTCAAATAAAGTTCGCCCGTTCATCAAACCGCGCAAACAGTCGCGCGTCTGGAAAGAAACTTCATGCCCGTTGCAATGAAAATTGTGTGTACAGTTTAATCGAAATCTGACACGGTTAACCTTTTATTTTTCGTTGTATCGCCCCCCCCCCTGCCTAGCGCGACAGGCGAACCAAAGTAATTTACGGACCTGGAATTTAATTTGAAATGTCATTAAAATAGAATTTATATTCCATTCAAATTGGTACATTTTTTAGCGCGGCGAAAGTTTGAATCTCCGCTTGCAATTGCTGCATAATATTAATTTTATATTATTTCCCATGAATATTCCGATTAATTAAAATTTACCGTTACTCGGTTATAAAATATAAATATTCGAAATTTTCGTTCGCAGAACAGAACGATCGTTATTTTCCTTTGTTGTGGGTGAACGTAGATTCCAAGGGAAAGGTTCTAACAGTACTGTTAGCTTTATGCTCGTTTCCTTTAAATGTTTTTCAGCAACTAGAGGTATGGGAATTATATTAAAATCGCTTTCAAACTTTTTCGATTTGTACAAAGTTGTTGGTTGCCCTCATGAAATGCAATAATAAGTTATCGTATGAAATTGGTGAACTACGTTTTTTGTATTACATGTTTTGCATCGTCTTTTATTTATTATTTCTTAGAGACTATATAATGTCTTGAAATAAAAACAGTTAAGCTTCGTGCATCTGCTTTAAAGCACCGTATGAAAAATAACGTCTTTAATTATGTCACTCTGACATAATACAGATAATAAATAATACCTTGAGACAATGTACAGGCAGATTTCTTAGCAATGTATTAAAGCTTCTGCGTCCAAAGTATACATAGATTAATTGTCACAGTGTAGGCTAATACATTTCTTTCATTTCAATTTTTCTTCTTCTTTTTATTTAATTAAGGAATTGATATTTATTATAAGAAAAGACAGGTGATTTGTAAAACGTTTTCGTTTTAACTTGGAATTTCCTTCCTTCGCGGATTATTAAATACAGAGATTTAGAATTTATGTAATTAATATAACAACATTTTATATGATATAATAATTGAAAAATGGCGAATCTCACTAATCGATAAACAGAGAATCCTTTCCTAAGTTTTCCATTTTATCGTTCATTTTCTTTTCTAACTTTTATAATTGTATTCAAATAATAGCTTCTTTGATGTACACTCTAAGACAGTGGTTCTGAAACTTTTTCAACTTACGGCACAGTTTAAAAGAAGATTCTTATTTGTTGCGAACTAATGACACAGTTTACAGAGAAGGAATCTGCTACAGTTCCTTATTATGAATAATTATGGCAATTTTAAAAGTCAGAAATTTAATTCACATATATATATTATATGTTATATTTAATTTCTGAAAATTCAGTATGTTATAATTCCCAAATTTGATTTCAATGTTAATAATATTTAAATCAGATTTATAAATTGAATGGAATACTACACGCGAATAATGCAATATCCATTTGTCCAATTTCAATGCTCTTCGACGTGTTTCATTCATCAAATGTTATTACTTTAAACATTGGCAGAATTTATAAATCGGGCACGGTAAATTTCCGAGAACATTACATGTTACATTCTTCGAACGTGGGGGTTCGTAAAATAAGAACTACAATGCATTTACATCGATTAGGCGGTCGATAGTGATTAGGGAAGTTCATGGTGCCAGAGTAAACTTGACACGAGGCCTGCGTCTGACTAATCACTGACTTCGACTACTGAATTTACTCAGACCTCCGATAACTCGTGACCGTAACGTTGCGATATTATATATCACTCTGTCACTATGCACATTAATCGTCAGCATCAACCTACCGTGCGAATTACTCACACGTTCGGCGTGTTAATTCCGAGTAAATTATCGACGGACATTAAAGTTACGAGGTTGGAAAAAGTGAAAACTTGAATTATCGATAATTTATGGTATCTTTATGGAACTTTAACGAGATATACTGTCATTATAGCCGATCAAAAGTTACACTTTGAAAAATTGGATTGCAGGAGATACACTTAGAATTTAACGCGTGTCATTGCCATTTATTTATAACTTTAATTATTTCGTGTATGCTTCATAAAATCCTCCTATTAATAACTAAAAATTCTTTTCCTACTGATAATTTACTCTCTCGTGTCTACTACTTTCGCCTAACAATGTCAATATTTAACTAACGGAAGTCTGCTAAGAACGACAAAGGAAAAGTATAATTCCCTATAAACTTTATCAACTGCTCGGTGTAGAATCTGCACCAATATTTCTTACTTTATCATCTTCGTTATTACATTTTCTGTAAGTAGATGAAACTTAGTAAAATACAATTTAGTAATTTCTAACAAAATCATATTTCTTTAAAATAAATAGAAACTTATACATAGTCGGTGTTAGGTTCGCATATTTTTCATCGTAGCAATGTTTACTTTATATTTATAATGCCGCTTGTTTGTGCAATAAATACATTAAATAAATAAATATTTCAAGTAAAGTTATACGAGAAGAATAATTTATGGGTTGCGTATTTCAAATAAATTGATGGTTACTACAAAATAACACGAGCAATAATTGTCGTTGGCATTTAATCAATAATTCAGAGACGAATCACTTTTTTGGAATGTATAGAAATTTAAGCTGACTGTGATACATAATACCTATCGATCTTTCGACTGTGTTGTTCTCTTATATTATTGTAATATTTAATTATGAATATTTGTTCTGAATTTTAGCTACCATTTTTATAAAATATAATTATAATACAATAATAAATAAACACTTTCAGAATATTATTATAAGACAGAAGCAGTGTTAGTTATTGATCAAAGAAACGAAATTCAAAATGTCATGATACAATGAATACATTATAACTTCCCCAAGTCAATCAAGATATTCCTTTTATGCAAACAGAACTGTTGCAGATGTCATTGTACAATAATCGTTGTGTATATACGTAATTGCATCGTGGGCATTGTTTGCAGAGAACTGATTGTTCAGCAGACACTAGCTCTTGGCTTCTTGTTAGCTGAGATCCAAGCTCGATCTTACTACTCCTTGCGACATTGGTAACCCGTCTAATTTGAATTGAATAGTGCAATCGAAATTAGCAATTTATGGACCATAAACCATACAGACACATTATGCATACGATTGCAAGATCACCTACGAATCGTTAACTGTTCGGTGTATGTAATACAGTGCATATAACAATCTATCGAGTATGTAGTCGTTTTCAACTGTCATTCCCGAAGATCGTCCTCGCGGAATCCTGCCAAAGGCAGGTACGGCGACTTGAACGTTTTCAATTTTAACATACGTTTTATGTTCTGCTCTTCAGAACCGCCTGCAATCCCTCCCCTGGATGTTACGAGCAACGATAACGAAGGTAACGGAAGTTCGCGCGGCGAAAACTGATTTCCAAGCATTTCTGAAACTTTGCAGTTTCTTGGCAAACAGTAGGATCGTTGGCGTTTAAGCATTCCAGTCGTCCGATTACCGAGTATCAAATTCTCCCCAAAGAACGCGGTGCAATTTTTTTATCTACACTCACATCTCGCCAGTTCGTTGGACCAAACTCTTATCTCGGCGTTTCGGTTTCATTTAAAGTTTCTAAGTTAATATTTGTATCATTACACGTTCGCGTAATCCTCGGGAACACTCAATATTCATATTTCAACTTTTAAATACTTTGGAGCAACGTTAACTCGCCCGCTAGAGATGCTTCTTCTATTATTCTATAATTAAAATTTAAATAGAGAATTCATAACCTTCCACGACGTGTTTATTCTTGGTAGTTTGTTACTTTCATTTGACAGACAATGCAATTACGAGTCTATGATACGCGAACAATTATTGGCATCTTGTTTAGAAGTACACTTTTACGATCAATGTCGCATCGATCGACGGCGAGGACCTCGGTCTCGTTATTCCCCTAAGTAACTAACGAAGAATAATGACTCGTCGTTACATCCTTTCGAAGTAATCATTTCCAGAGGGTTGACCCTTCGACTCGGTTTGAAGTTCCTTTCGAGTAACTGGCTCCATCCAGTCGAATCGAACCATATTACTACCGCCATGACACTTTCTATTTTTACCCCAAAACATTTTACAGCGATTTAGAATTATATTTAAGGATGACCCGGATTTTCTGCCGATATGTCGGGTTCAATCACGACCCGATCGAACATCCCGTCCTTTGACTTCTGCTGCAATATATTTAGCAAGCTCGTGTTAATTAGTTAATCGAAACTTTCTGCGAATACTGTACCAAAGAACTCGATTCACCAGAGAAATTGGGTTCCCGCGGATACTTATCCGTTGTTCATTCGTTTCGACTTTTGTCCAGCAATTTTATAGGATTAAAATTGCACGGAAAAGTTGTAGAACCCGCTAAGGGAAAGCGAAAGTTTTTCGTTCGAAATACAATAACGTTAACGAGATTGAAATTTTAATACGCGGCCACAGTTAAAACTTTCATACGCTAATGGAAAGAGGAAGAATTAATTATTGCGATATAATTATTTCGGTTGCTTTGTTGCCGTTGCCACGTAATTTAATTAAATTTTTTTTCCCATTGTTCTAGGTGGATCGGTGACCGTGACAAAATGGTGGATCGGCAAAAACCATTTCTATTGGTGTTAATAGCTCTCCTGATTTACCCAGACGATATCTTCGGTGAGTTGTTTCACGAAGAAATATATCGCGAAGGATTGCATGCAGTTACATCGATTCTCAATTTTACATAAAAATAGTCCTACATTATTGAAAATGTAGTTATAGGGAAATATGTTTATTAAGTTCTGCATCGATCACTTTATTTACAACGTAACACGACCGTTTTAGTCTATCAATTTATTAACGTCGATTATCAGGTATCGAATAATAGGAATATCGATTATCTGTTAGTAAATAAACTAACATATACATAAAGATGTAGTCCACATCTCCTCTTCTTTATTCTGAAGAGACCTGACGTGTATATGTTACCGTGAATGACCGAAATTGGAGAATGTCAATTTTCACCGGTGAATGTCAACAGATACCAAATACGTCGGTGAAAGATCGAATATTTCATTACATTGTTGTACATTCGGACCCTCTCCGGTGTGTGTCGACAATCACAGATATGCTCTGGTGGAGGTCCAAAACAGAAAAGTCAAAAAACAAGCGACTGGCTCTCTCCTGCCAAATCCTTTGTTCTGCTCGGAGTCAATCAGCTTTGTCAGTCTTATGCAAGCTTTGATAACGCGAGCAACGTTTTCTTAATTTTTTTTCCGATACCCTAATTTATACTAAATGGATACTGCAGTAAATCGTGATCTTTTTCTAACCCATACCTAACCCAGACCTAACCCAGACCTAACCCAGACCTAACCCAGACCTAACCCAGACCTAATCCAGACCTAACCCAGACTTAATTCAGACTTATTCCAGACCTAACCCAGACCTAACCCAGATCTAATCCAGACCTAACCCAGACCTAACCGAGATCTAATCCAGATCTAACCCAGACCTAACCCAGACCTAACCCAGACCTAACTCAGATCTAATCCAGACCTAACCCAGACCTAACTCAGATCTAATCCAGACCTAACCCAGACCTAACCCAAATCTAGGGTCTAGGTCAGGTCTGGGTTAGGTCTGGATTAGATTTCGGTTAGGTCTGGGTTAGGTCTGGATTAGATTTCGGTTAGGTCTGGGTGAGGTCTCGGTTAGGTCTGGGTTAGGTCTGGGTTAGATCTGGATTAGATCTCGGTTAGGTCTGGGTTAGATCTGGGTTAGGTCTGGGTTAGGTCTGGGTTAGGTCTGGGTTAGGTCTGGGTTAGGTCTGGGTTAGATCCTTTCAGAAAGAGAGGCGAAAAAGTTACGTCACCCTTGTGACGTTTTATAGCGACTGAATTACGGAGAAGAAAATATAAATCTCCAACATGTTCAACACTCACCATTAGTGCATGGTGAATGTCAACATTTACCGGTGTAAGTCAGAAATAAGGGTGTTTAGCAAATATTTCGGACATACACTAAGCGACTATGTGAATGTTGACATTCACCGGTGAAAGTCGACATTCTCCAGATTTCGGTGTTTCACTGTAACATATACAATATTTATAATCAAAATATTCATGTCTTTTCAAATAAGATATCTAACTATTTTTAATTCCAATAGTTATCGTTGCAATACGTTAGTTTGCGTGATCGGAGCGGCGTGTAAAATATCGGGGAAATGAAACTTGAATAATTACGATAATTTATTATTCACGTAATCGCGATTAAATCGTTCCGTTCGGATAATGTCCAGATTTATCGTCGGCTAACGGCGGTGTGTGTTCTCGTAGCGGGAATTTTAAAAACAACTAAATCCGACGAATGCTACAAGATACAATGCAAAGCGAGCGACACGGCCAATTTTGCAACTAAGCCGTTCACTTCACGACCACCTGTAAATACAATACCGGAACTAATCCGCTTTTGAAACGCACGCTGTCACCGACTATATACGATGATATTGGCCTTACGACTCTTCCGGCGGTGAAATATTACTTTTTGCGAGTGCCAGCTATGCTGTTCCCTTTTCCAGGCAAACCGGATGAATCGCCGAGTTCCCGAAAAATATCACCGACGAAAAAGGAGACCGTGCTCGCCTGAAAATTTATGCGGCCAATCACATCGGTATATTTATTCCTTATCCCCCGTTTCGGGTTTCTTACTCCTTCCTTCGGAAAAAAAAAACTATACGTTGTCTACCTGACTTTATCGCCACGCCACATTTCCTTTACACTTTATATTTATTAGCTTCAATGGAGTTCGTAAAGTCCATTATTCACAGAATAAAACAATTCTTCTTTGTACAGTCCCCTTCAAATAACTATTAGCTTCGACTGAAATAACATTCAAGTATTTTGATATCATTCTTTCAATATCTCTTAAGCCTAAATTGTTCATATCGAGTTAGTTTCATTAGTTTTCAAAATGTCCTACGATTTTACTGTTTTACAAAATTGTCCTGCATTTCTCATTTGAACTACTCGAAGAGACAATACTCTATAATAGTGAAGTACGCTTAGGTTTGTCAGTAACCCCGAGAATTTCTGTGCTTTTATAACGTCCATTGCCCGTAAAAATACAGTTGCGCTTTTCCAAAGATTTAATTATTTCTCTGAAACTCTTTAGATAGCCGCCCATTGTATATCATTTTAGTTTCGTAGCTCGCTGGAAAGTTAAGTCCCGCACTACAGTTAAACTATTTTCCAACCATGGAATCGAGGATGCCCCTGAAAAGGTCCCGGCTAATTCGAATTCCCTTTTTACCCGTGCTTGTTGATAAATACGACAAACGGTACGACAACTGGCTTCTCAGTTTCTCTCTTTATTACTTGAAGCAGATAGACTTATGAAAGCCGTGTAGTACGAGAGCGTAGCGTGCCCCTCTTGAATTAAGTACACTCTCGGATGAATTGCGACTTTGCTTAAACTTTTCCTCAACTTCATTATCCACTAATTCTGCCGTGAATGGTAATGGATAATTGGAGCAACGCAATAACCTTTGCCCCGGCTACTGGAGTTTCGTACATTTGAAAGAAACTCCGCTAGCTTTGCTTTGTGCGGAGTAAATTATCGTCGCTGTCTCGAACGACGTTTCGGATTAATTTTCATTGGTAAACGGCGAAGGAATGTATGTACACCTTCGCTGAAAGAAGTATCACGCATTGATGACGTCGGTCTTTGCGAGGCAAGTCACGTAACCAATTAGAAATAGACGCAGTATTGCCTCTGCTGCATGCGTATTCACGCTGAGAAAAAGATCTCTCATTCTCTATGCAGTTAACAGTTAGGTCGATCAAATATAATTGGGCTATCGATTAATAAAATTCATTTAAATCTGACACTGGATACCAATATATACAGAGTGTTACGCCAACCCTGGGAAAAATTTTAATGGGAGATTCTAGAGGCCAAAATAAGACGAAAGTCAAGAATACCAATTTGTTGATGGACGCTTCGTTAAAAAGTTACAAACGTTCAAAGTTTCGCACCGTACTGAATTTTTTTCTTGAAAATACGCAGGATTTTTGGGGTATGGCTATTCACCAAAAATGATTGTAATTTACCCCTGTAATCGAAAATATTTTTTTTAGAATGATTTGAAACTATTCAATTTCGCCGAAAAAAGGCACCTATCCTCTGTAGATTTTTCTTATAAATTCGTTTTCATTTTTAATAAATTTGGTTGGCGCTGTACAGAAAAGTTGTTTAATACTGTTTTGTAGGTATCCATGAACTCTAGTTCCCCCCAAAATTTCAATGAAATATATTCTCTATTGTAGGAGTTATGGTCATTTGAAAACTGGACCTTTTTTATGGGGGTTTTCTCACTTTACGGGGTTGAGGAACAACTTTTCGAGTATTCTTAGAATTTCTACATATTCTTCATTAAAATACGCGTCGTTTGCTTTTTGAAAAATTAAAATCCTTCAATCCGTTCAGAAGTTATGGCGTTTTAAAGATATGCATGAAATTTCAGTGAAACATATCAACGGTATGGTCAGACATTCTATTTTCGGTAAGGAATTTTTTTCTCGAAAGCGCGTAGGATTTCGGTGGTATATCTATTGACGAAAAATGATTGTAATCGACTCCTGCAACCGAGAATAATTTTTTTAGAATGATTTGAAAAATTTTTTTTTCCCCGAAAAATTTCAGCACCTACCCGAATTTTTTTCTCAAAAATGAGTGGGATTTCGGGGGTATGTGTATTCACCAAAAATGATTGTAATTAACTCCCGCAACCAAAAATAATTTTTTCAGAACGATTTGAGATTTTTAAATTTAATTTTTTAATAACTTTTTAAGTCGTCTTATTTTGGCCTCTAGAATCTCCCATTAAAATTTTCCCCGGGGGTGGCGGAACACCCTGTACAAATAAGGTACAGATAACAGAAAGGGAACGTTTTGGGAAACCTCGAAACAGCCACGACAACAAGAAGATCGATTATTCGTCGACAATTTCACGGATTTTCACGCAATTTACAACTACGCGCGCCTGCAGCCGCGTTCAAGGTTTTCTCGAGGTAGCATAACGCCTAGAAAGTCACGATTACATCGAATAGTTCGCGATGTGGAACTCGTTCGAAACAAGCATCGAGGCTTTATTGTAAGCGCGAAACTGTCGTTTTGCGATCACGGTTATTTCGAAGCAGCTCCGCAGGGAGGCATCCGCCCCCGCAATAAGCGCAGACTGCGTTTCACGCGAGAAAGAGGAGGAAGGATAACGCTGAGAATGCATGGACCAGCGGTGCACAGGATGACGGTGCTCCTTCGCATCGGGTATCGATTTCTATCGATTAGTTCTTAGCGGCAAAATGCAGCATCGTAAAACAAACTCTGGCGGTCTCGAACTTTAATTAACGACGCCCCCCACAAATTATTAGCTTTTTGTTAAAGTCGTCGTCGTTCGGGCAATGATTTTTACAGCATTTTGATTAACTTCCCCGAGAGACGCGTTATCATTCCATCGTTATAATTCTTCAAATTGTTCTATCAATCAAATTCAACGATAAAGTTCGCGTTTTGGCTCGTTTCACGAGTTATAAGTGTCGTGTAATTAATGACAAGAAAGGATAAGATTCTACGGTAATCCGCGACCCATATTCCGACTTCCAATAAATCATCGCTCT